CAATAGTAGTTATCCAGGGTAACAGAATAACCACGACATATTTTTCTGTAACTTCCGGTTTTTCAGTCATAATTTATATATATTTTTAATTGAACATCCTATATATTTTTCGTTTTGGAGAGCTAGGTAAAATTTCCTTTCAAATTGTGTATGTTCAAATTGTGTATTACATACTTGTATAATATTTACATAAAAAATAAGTTTGGGTTACAATTGAAAAACCGGACGTTATGCATAAATGCATAAAACATCTTTAGAAAATTCAAATATTTTCAGAAAGTTAAGTAATTGAACTGAATAACGCTCTGTATTTCTTAAACGAATCAAGACATTGAAATATGCATTTCGTAATAGGCCCATTCAGTAAAAATTTTTTATTGCATATATCAAAAGTTTACCCTATAATTAGTTAATATGCCAAAAATCAATTTTTTGTTTCAACGAGAAATGTGTGAAATAAATTAATGAAAACAGAGCGCGGAAAAACGTTGAGCAACCATTGCTGACGTCATAATACCGGTACGGGCGACTGGCAGTGCACTCCGCTCGCTCTCATCCCATTCTGTGTTAATACATACGGTGTGTGGTTCGCTTGGCAGTTTCGTTAATCATTGTTTTTATGTCTAAATGGGTCGAAACCGAGGATTGTACAAATATTGAATAGTTCCAGGCTGCAAAAGTACCTCAGGATCGACTCCGAATAAAATATTTATTTCATTACCGAAAAATGAAAAGTTTGTGTGATGTTATCCACGGTTTCCCCAGCCACGGTATGCAACTCAAAACCACCTTCGTTTTTCTTTGGATGCACGTCTAGGGGGTTGTAAAATATTATTATTTGAACATTTAGAGCACAATTCTCAACTTTATGCCGGAAATAAATTCTGCCCCATCTAAATGTTCGTGTTCACAAAAAATTCGAAATACGACGGCGACAGGGACCTATAAGCAGTTAAGAACCACTCTAGTTTTTCTTTGGTTTTCCATCTAGAGGGTTTTAAATATTATTATTTGAACATTTAGAGCAGAATTATAAAATTTATGCTGGAAAAAATTTCTGCCCCATCTAAACGTACCCGTTCACAAAAATTTCGAAATACGTCGGCGAGAGGGACCTATAAGCAACTCAGAACCACCCTCGTTTTTCTTTGGTTGCCCGTCTAAGAGGTTATAAATATTATTATTTAAACATTTAGAGCAGAATTTTCAAATTTATGTCGAAAAAATAAATTCTACCCCATCTAAACGTTCCCGTCCACAAAAATTTCGAAATACGTTGCGAGAGGCACCTATAAGCAATTTATTTAAATAATAATATTTTACAACCCCCTAGACGGGCAACCAAAGAAAAACGAGGGTGGTTCTGAGTTGCTCGCACATACACGTCGTCGCATACATCCACAAGTACCGAGTCTAGTACGTTGGGTACATTTGTACAAAAATGGAAAGCAACAGAAAATGTAGAAAAGCGAACCATTTACGTCATTGAGAAAAATCCGAAAATGTATTTAGATATTCCAAGACATTCTATGTTTATAATAAATATGTTGTGTGAAAAATGCATTTCAACAAGACTTGATGTATATCTCTTATACACTCTCTATTTATACACTTAAAAATATAGGTATATAATATCGATAAAAGTATAGCAAATATCTACACATCTCTCCGTCTGCTCGCGACTTGATCGCCGAGTGGCCGGTATTGTGACGTCATTAGCTGTTCTCTCGCAGCGTTGACCTTTTTAAGGGTCTTACAAATTCAGAATTAAATATATCACTTATTATTAATCCTATTGACCTAATTTTCTTAAGATATAATTAGGTGGTTAAATACTATCAGAAAATTAAAGAAAAAGTTTAAAATTAAATATCACTGAAAGGGCCTATTCAAGCTTTATCGAAAATTGAGCCTATGGTGCCTCAACCACTTTTGTGTATTTACGGGAAATTATGAAATTCCCTAAAAGTGTCGAATTTAGCCAGCCAGCGTGCACATATTTATCTGATAGGACAGGGGGTAGAATAACATTTGATTTGTACATATGTATTTGCGTTATATGGAGGGACAAAATCGTAGTGATTTTTAACTGTATAGTTTAAAATTGCTACGGTTTATTTTCATTTACATTACATAAACATCTGTGCTACTAAACGATTTCTATATGCAGTTTATTTAATAGTGACTATATTTAACTCTCTGGTTTCGATCCGCTGGTAACGCAAAATTTAGAACCTGTATCAAACAAAAATTCCGTTCTGTTTATTTCCCAAAAATCCATTAAACTGAACCCACTTCCTTTTAGAGGATCGAAACCTGCCAGATAAACATCGTCAGTGAATTGATAAACCGGCCCTGACTAAATTTATTTATTATTCACTTTATGCATTTTGAACCCATAAAATAAAGAAAATAAATAAATGTTTCTCATTTTTAAAGTAACCAGTTAGTATCAGCAACCTTAGAAGAGGAAGTTTAATAAATAAGATTGGAATCAACATTTCCGGTCATTATGTTTACAGTATGCTGAGCATAATATTTATCTTTTACGATTGTATGTAGTATTAAAATAGACACACTTTTGACCACACTACTTCCTAATTGCATTATTTCTAACAAGATAAGACTAGTTTTTTTTATATTCCACAGAATGAAAAGAAAATAGGAAAGTGAGGATTTTTGCAACAATAATACTCACAGTTCTACCGCTGAAAGCTATTCCCCCGACACGTGCTCACCTGAAGCTGTTTTTATAACATACACGTTCTAAACTATCTATCTTTAAAATCGATTTCACGTTTGGTAGGTACCTATTAAAATTTTTTTTTAATATAATTTTCATACCTGTTTATACGCGCAGCTGAAGCGTTTTCCACTGTATTTTTTTTTCAGATTGTTGAAAGATACTCAAGTTACGTAAACAAAAACATTCCCGTCCTTAGATACTAATGCCTACTTTTAATGTGTTTACTTCTCAAGCCCAACGTCCCCTAGGTCATAAATTAAAATGCTTATAAACATACGGAGGTATATTGCAGCACTGGGCTTGGGAGAGATTTTCAGTTTTTAATCTGATTTGATACAGAATAGATGTGCTATCTGAATAAGTGAATAAACAATATCTTTTAATTATTAAAGTGTTTTAGTTCTACCCATAATCCCAACACAGATGACCGTGATTTTTTATCATTAATTATTATAAACAAAATATACAAACAATTTTAGTTTTGGTACTATTAATTTTTTTACATTTTGCAACGCGGGGGTGGCCCTATTATTCCCACCTCTACCCAAAGATACTGACAACTGAAGGTGGTTTGGTTTATGCACCATGTAAGACTTCACATATGTGTGAAATTACTACCCTCAAAATGCCACGGGCTCTCGGACTATAACGATACCTACAGCCTACAGGCATAAAGTAAGATATTTTTCCGTCCATCATCAACTTAAAATATAATTTTTTTAATTTTTTCCCGACAAGAAAGGCCACTTCACGTCATATCATGTCACGTACACGTAAAATTATGACCTTGAAAACGTGACAGACTGTTCGTGAAATAAAAGCGAGCGTTAATATGACATCTAAAACTAAACCAAATAATATATTGATTAATAAAGCGAAGCCTTATTGTTAAGATTAAGGCCAAGGTAGGCCTTTCCTGTTTCTATGATTAGTACCGACTTAAAATCCGATTTCTATTTCCTAATGAAACGCTAGAGTCTAGAGGAAACGTTAAAAATAATGGTTTTGGTGTGACTTGATTATGATATGATATGTGCAATTATGGTTATAAAAATGTTGATATACAGGGTGAGTCAGTTTTTTGTAGACAAACTTTAACAGGAGATAGAACACATGTTTTTAAAAAGAAAAGTTCCTACAAACATATGTCGTAGAAGGCTTCGTTTCCGAGATACAGGGTGTTGAATATAATTTTTTTTTCTCGAATTCTCATTATAACTTATAAACGAATGCTTAGATTTTTTTCATGTTTGGGGGATAATGCCTATTAATTAAGGGGCATAAAACAAGCGATAAGAATGTTCAAAAACTTGCACAGTGGCGGAGTGGAGGAGGTGCTCAACCCCTTTCTTAGACAGAACTTCTACGCCAATGACTATTTTTTAAAAAAACTGTTATTTCCATTATTTACATACAGTTTAACAAAAATAATGTCCCTTCTTCTGATTCGAAATTCCTCTGCGTTTTCGAGTTATTTTGATTTTTAATGTTTGATGTGGTACTAAATTAGGTAATTTATTTATTATCAATTATCGGCTAAATATTTAATTCTTTCAACGAAACCTATCTAAATATGATTTGTTAAGGATTCTAAAAAGCTGAAATCTCTTATTCTTTATCTCTTTCCAATGTAGTCAAAATAAATATTTGTTATATCAAGCTATAGTCAAATACAAGACTTTTATAAGTTGAAATCTGTTTAGTACACTAATTTAAATAATCCTTATTTATTATGTGCTGCGTAAATACTAATGTACTGCAACTAAATTACAAAAAAAAACATTGAATGAACATTGATGTTAATGTTTATGGAGAAATTTTTTGAATTTATAACAATATGTAATTAACAACTTCTTAAAACTTTTTGGCGACTGCACAATAATGTATTGTACGTATGTAATGTAACAGATTTCAACTTATAAAAGTCTTGTATTTGAGTATAGCTTGATATAACAAATATTTATTTTGACTACATTGGAAGGAGATCAATTCTTATCGCTTGTTTTATGCCCCTTAATTAATAGGCATTATCCCCCAAACATGAAAAAAATCTAAGCATTCTAAGTTATAATGAGAATTCGAGAAAAAAAAATTATATTCAACACCCTGTATCTCGGAAACGAAGCCTTCTACGACATATGTTTACAGGAACTTTTCTTTTTAAAAACATGTGTTCTATCTCCTGTTAAAGTTTGTCTACAAAAAACTGACTCACCCTGTATAAATGTAGTCATAAAGCCAGGCAGCTACTCACCTGGCACTTTTAGGAATTTTAGTAATATGAAGATCATTGCCTTGCGAATTCAATGGTTCAGCGCTAATAGCCTGCCTCTTGATCCTTGGCTCCGACAAAGCTTGTGTCTTGTTGTTTTCAACTCCTCCTCTTGGCCATATTTCCGCTCCGAGGTTGATCTGTTTCGTGATAATTTTCTGGGTTATAGGTCGAACCACTTGTCTAAATTTATCAATTTCGTTCTGTAGATGTTTTATAAGTACGTCTTTATCATCGAGCTCCTTCTCCAGTAAAGAAATGGTCTCCTCTTTGAGTTTGATCTCGTGGTTCTTCTCTTCTAGGAGGCGTTTTAACGAAGTTATGATTTCCGTCTCGCTGGGAGGCATCTCGTTCTCCAAAATTTCAGATTCCGCTTCGATCTTGTTACGATGGAGAAGTTTGGTGATGAATGTGTAGCAACTCATTTGTTCAGTTGAATGAGCAAACCATTTCCATTTTAAAGAAATAAATAGGGTAAGTTTTTGTCAAAGTCCTGCATAACATTTATTTTGGGGTTGAGAAATTTCTGTGGCTTTGACTTGAATTAGGGAAAAAATCTAACGCAAGAATATCTGTGCAATTGGTGTATACATCAAAGAAATAAAAATGTTGGTATTTGAATTAAGTTTTATAATTATTCAGCGAATAACACGCAACCAAACTTAAATTCCATTAAGAAAGTAGCGATGTCAGTACAGTGCAAAGATATTTAAATAATACTAAGAAATCCTAATTTTTTGTGCATAGTGAAGAATCATTTTATAAAATATTTGTTTGTAGATAAAATATAGAAATCGTGGATTTATTTAAGAATTTTCTCTTTTCACCACACATTATCTCGGTGACTATAGAAGATATAAAAAAATTCCCTAACGGAACTTCAAGTACTTAGGTTTCAACAAGGTCAAAAACTCTTTTAGTAATTTATATTATACAGACCTATTAATAACCAGGATAGGTATTCTAAATATTCTTTGGAATGCACGAATCGAATGAATTTCATTTTATAAATATGTAGTGGCCTTCTAGATGTATTTGCTGAACTAATTACGATATGATTCAGTTCATACTCCATGGCCTGTTGTGATTTATTTTAGAAGCGATTTAACGAGAAATTACTTTAGGGATTTTTTTTATCAAATATCTATAATGCCTTAATCAGCATCATTTAAAACCTTAGTATCTCATATTTCACCAATTTATAATATAGAATCATTTTTTTTATAGATTTAATAAATTTAGAATTGATGAAGTTTAAGTTTCAATTTAAAAATCTAGAAGGCTGCAAAAATGTTCGAGGATAGTCTTAAGGAATCAGAATACACAATTATAAAAACAATAATTGAACATCAATTTAAAAAGATCCCTTATATCTTTTTAAAACTGATTTTTTGAGAGAAAACATCCTGTATATTTTGTAAAAATGATATATCTAGGGTTACAAACTATCCGTGGGCAGTTTTTGATTTGTTCAACTTCCGGAATGACAGAATTGGGTTCACATCATATAGAACTTTTAGTAACGAAATAAAAAAAAATAAATAAATAAGGGGATGTTTTGGAACATTATACATATGAAGTGCAACTAAAATATACACAGACTGAAGAAGTTATTTCTGACACGAGTGTATTTATTTACGTCTACATTATGCCCTCATTCAAATATCTTAACAGTAACGGAGTAAATTGCAGTAAAAATTTCAGGGTGATTTCCCATTAATTCGACGCCATACTTCGCAACAGGGGACACACCAGCGGACTATAGAGCGTTCGAACATTGAAGCGAAACAGCTGATTTCGCCAGTCGTCTTGAATTTTGCAATTGGTTTCAAAATCAAAGGGCAGCAGATGCCAACTTTATTAATAAAGTACTATGGTCGAGTGAGTGTCTTTTTAGCCGTACTGTCATTTTAAATAGGTAAGTACCGCACCACGCTCTGATTGAAAAGCAATAAATCACAGAATAAGGAATACGTACCACAAACTGAATAATTAATTGAACATAATACTAAAAACTCAATTATAAAACTATAAATTATAAATAAATTCGATTATAAAACATAGTGAAAAAATTAACAATATCAAAAATACTAAATTGTAATAATCTAACATTCGAAATCAATTATTATCCCTATACATCTGTTTTTTAGCATATAAATAATACTTGCTAATATTTAAAATGTAAAAATATGTATATTCATTCATGTGTCTAGGTAAAAAGATCTGTTTATTCGTTGTTGTTCACTACGGATTAAAAATGCATTAAAAGCTGGGTTAATGACCGAATGTTACAGTAGGTCAAGATTTACTCTCGATAAATCTTTGTGAGTCAGCGGTCAGGAGCAGTCCGAAAAGGGGGTTTTCAATGTAAATATGCATTTTAAAATTTTCGTAATCGCGTATTCCTATTCTACTCATTAATGACATTATGACTGAATCACCCTGTACACAATAATAATTCAAATCATCCGTCCCAAAAAAAAACAGTGGAATGTTTTGGTTCTTAATTGACCACATTGTATATAGGTATGAAGTGTTCTCTAATTAGCCTGCCAAGTTTCATAACTAGATTCAACCTCGAAATTGTTTCACAATAGGGCCCTTGGCTTAGCGCCTGAAGACCTGCCGCTCCTTTAGGAACCATTTTTGGCCTGCGTTTATTTGAATAATAATGAAGTTTGGCAGGCTAATTGAACATCTAATTTTTGATTCTAAAATTTTCGTGGGGGTGATAAAATTTTTAGTGCTATAGGAGTATGAAAATTAAGTTTTGAATGCTCTAAACTCCACTTGAGATCTAATTTTATATTTCTAAATATTTTCAATAATTACAAGGATAAAGGTTGTTGAAATCAGATAAAATTCACAAACAAAATTATAGGTATATTTGAATATGCTAGTGGCGTTTCTTTAGTAACATTTTAAACAGTTAAACCAAAAACAACCAGATCACGCGCGTAGAATTGGCATTTGTTGACAGCTTTGTACTACTGTACGATCCATTATTTTTTTTTTCTTGAAATACCTCATAAGTTTATTATACCTATGTGCTAATAAAATATGTTGACATACACGGCAATAACATTTTACGAGTAATTAATGGTGCGTGATTCAATAAGTAGTATAAAAGAAGGGAAGCCAAGTCATAAAAATTTATAGAGATGTGATCTTTGTATATCCAAGAAACGATAAAAATAAATCGACTCCTTTAGTAACATCTTTTTTAAAGGCTAAACATACATAAACTTGATTTGTTTATGAATTACCACAATTGACACTTTTCACGTGATGGCTCTGTCAAAAACAAACGAATTAAGCAATTTAAATGATTGCCAAGGTTAGTAAAGCTTAGGATGTAACGTTTGAACATACAGATTTGATGAGAAACGTACCTGTCAAATTTTAGTACGTCGTACGACTTCGATTATTATTTTTCAACATACAGGATGTATGTTGATGCATTATTTATAGGAATGTCAAAATGATAGTGTTACTAAGCGGTCTGTCTTATGATTTTTTGCCTGCTATTTTGGTGTAATCACATTAGATGATCTGTTTATAGAATTTGATATGGCATTAATACGGAGTTCCACTGATTTTTTAATTCAAAAAATTTATTACGAGTTGAAATTACTTGTAAATAGTAAAGTAACATTGAGAAAGGTTTTAAAAGTCACTGTTATAAATTAATAAGAATTGAGAAATGGGGGATTTAAAGTCTGCCGAGTTAAAACTTTTTTAAAGAATAAAATATATAAAAGATATTGGATCTTGTCAATTTGTTAACGCGAGGAATATTCAATTTAAGATGAATTTGTTGAACGATGAAAAAGAAATGAGATTATCACAGTACTGTTGCTATTAAAACAAAAATATGCAATAGGTCCAGAAGTCATACAAAAAAATCGTACTTGTTCAATAAATTTCATGTTTGAAATGTGTTTAATGAAAACTGGTTGTATCCTAAGCGGATTTCAAATTTTCGCTGAACTTTCCAATCGGAACCACTAAGCTGTCTACGTAGGATCAATCCCGGTCAAAGTAGAAACCCATGTCCGAGGGGTTACCCTCTACGAAAAGCAGAACGCGCAGCGGAATATAACATTTTCGACTGTTTCAAAAATTTCCGCTGAAATTCTTTACGAAGATCTTAGCCGCCCACAAATGTCAGAGCCGTAGCAAACGACACCGCCATGCAGAGCAGCCGCCGACGATGTGCTGCGGAAATAGAAAATTTACTCCAGTTTCGAATTTCGGAAAATAAAAATTTCCGGAAAATATGAAATTCGAACTGGAGAACCGTATCCAAAACCACACTACCACATCAGACTACAAGTCCATAATATAAAGATAGGCAAAATCCAAAAAGGGAAAAATCTCTCGGCTTAAACCAAAAAAAAAAGTATTTTGAGGAAATTATAGCCTGCGCTACTGGTTTCAATTTGACTTAGGTTTTTTTTCATAGTTCTTAGATGTTACTTATGTATTGTGCGCACATAATTTGATTTCACACTTTGCATTTCAAAACGAAAGTTTCAAAGGCAAATGTTGATACAAGAAAAAGTATATAACCTTGTAGGCAAGAATTTAATTGATGATATTATTGTAGGAAATAACTATGCTAGGGGTTACATACCCCAATTAGCCTCGAATAATACCAACAACATCTAAGTAAACAGTAAATATAAAAAAATCTAAAATAAAATTAAAAATTATCTATCTAAATATCATTAACTGAAAATAAAAACAAGTCCTACATTACTGGAACCATTAAATAATGTAATATTTCAAGAAATATCTTTTACTTTTGCTTTTCCAACATCATCTTTGAGAAAAACCACGATAGGTACCTATATCTTTAGTTTTTCTACGTTTTGAAGAATACACTTTCAAGAGGCCTTCTTATAAATCGAATTAATAAATATTATTTAAACAAAATTATATACAGGGTGTTCCTAAATAAGTGTCGCAACGGAAAACTGTAAATTCCTCTAGAAAAGAGAAAAACATTTTTTTCCTCTTCCATTTTTCTCTCCGGGCTTTCGTTTTCGAGATACACGGTGTCAAAACTTTTTTTTCAGATTTTTGCCAATATCTTAGGAACCGTTTGAACTACAGGACTGAGCTTTTGTACACACATTACCATTATTAATAGCTACTTGTTGCAAATGTTGTCAAATTTCGTTAAAATTGTTAATTATTACTATCTTTTGAATTACAAAAGTTGTTCGAAACGTTAGCAAAATGTTAGTTTCTGTTCATAAAAAGTCATTTTTCTTGAAAACGGTTGACTTTAGAGCAATGAACCAAGAGAAGTCTATTTGTGTAAAATTCATTGGCGCTTCAGAATTTCAATGTCAATGCCAATGTCAAATGCCAATTTTTCCAGTGGCGTAAAAGTTAGTTACGATACCTTAAAATCTCCACCACTGGCACGTTCAATGAATTCGTGAAGGGTGAGAAAAAGTAGCTATTAATAGTGGTAAT